TCCATATCATCCAATGCATCAAACCGACTGGCTTGAGGTAAAAATCCATCTTGAATGATCAATCTGGATAATCCATTATCAAATCCTTGAAGAAACTCAATAACCGCATCGATGGTTTGTATATAGGCACTTTGCAAGGCGTGTATCCTTTTTGAATTGTCTGAAACTGGATGGGACTTTATAAATAATTGTTCCAGTCCAGAAGAAGAAAATATTTTCAGAATCAATTCTATACCCATATCCATTTGATGGCTATCAATGGATAGGGTGTTTAAAAATCCTTTTAAATAGGATGTTGCTGGATAGGGCGTGTTAAGTTGGGTAAATGGTGGTGTTATTAAAAGTATATCTTTCAAAACAGAGTTTTTGACTTTTAACTAACTATACCGCTCTACCTCTTCTAATGTAATGGTATTGGAACCCAATATCATTAAACGCTCTATTACGTTTCTTAACTCTCTGATATTTCCCGTCCAATCTTTTTGACTTAATAGTTCTATCCCTTTGGGTTCAAAAGATTTTGACGCCATGCCTTCTTCTATCAATCGATTTTTAAAATGTTCGATCAACAAAGGAATATCGGTACGTCTTTCATTTAACGATGGTACTTTTATAAGAATAACGGCCAACCGATGGTATAAATCCTCTCTAAAACGACCTTCGGCTATTTCCTTTTTTAAATCTTTATTGGTGGCTGCCAAAACCCTAACATCCACGGATATTTCCTTTTCACCACCCACCCGGGTGATTTTACTCTCTTGCAATACCCGCAAAACTTTGGCTTGGGCGGATAACGTCATATCGCCAATTTCATCCAAAAAAATGGTTCCTTGATGGGCTTGCTCGAATTTACCTGCCTTATCTCTAATGGCCCCTGTAAAAGATCCTTTTACATGACCGAACAATTCGCTTTCGATAAGTTCGGAAGGGATGGCCGCACAATTCACCTCAATCAAGGGTAGAATATTGCGATGGCTTTTTTGATGCAACCAATAGGCCACCAATTCTTTACCCGAACCATTGGATCCCGTAATTAATACACGAGCATCGGTAAAGGCCACCTTATCCACCATTTCTTTGACCTCATTAATCGTAGGGGAATCGCCTATCATATCGTATCGATGGTCAATTTTTTTACGCAATTGCTT